GCTTTACTCTTTCTGCTGGGTCGTAAAAGAGGAATTGAAAACGGTGAAAGGGGGCTTATTTTTCCACCCAACTTTCCTCACGGTCGCTCTTTTTCTTGCAGGACCCAACCAGTTTTTCCTAGGTTAGAGTTGAGCTTTTTGAAATAGTAGAGTTATTGTCATACCTTAATTTGTTAATTCCATACAATTTTCATTTATTTGATTATATTACTCTATATTACTTAATCTTTTTTATATTTTAGTATCTTCTTTGTTCTCATCCCTGCATTTGAACCGGAATTTTCTCTCTTTTGGTCTCTTTTTCAAAATCCTGCTGGAAAGCTTATTTTTATGTTGCTCCCACAATTTCTTCAAATTCTTCTCTTTTTAATTTCTTTCTAAATTTCTTTAATTTTTTTCTAAATTTCTTTAATAGATGGTGTATCATTCAAAATTTCATTAATTTTTATGAGATTTTCATTCACAACAAAAACTGAGTATACTTGATTCACAAGAGAAGATTTGAAGGGTTGGTACAAGCCCAAAATTTTCAATTATTTTTAACCTTTTCTGAAAAACTTGAAAGTTGCTTTAAATTAATGGCCTCAAATAAAAAATAAAAGGGGAATGAATGAAAAGAATGCAATGAAACTTAGGAAGGGTTTGAAAACATCATCTTCTTCATTTTTACTTTCTTATATTAGAATTGTTTCCCTGAATTTCTTGGGGAGTGGGGTTTAAACAAAGCAATGATTTCCTGCAAAAATTCAGTACGATAGAAAAACACTACTCAAGGAGAAAAGAAAAAGTAAAGAGAAAGAAAGAAAAAAAAACACAGTAATAATTACTGTCGGCGAGATGTATGGGAGACTCAGAGAAGACGCCAAAAGAAAAAATCGAACACAATGGTCAAACAAATAAAAGTAAGACTCTATGGAGAGAGAGCATGAATTTTCCAACAAGAACTGATAGTACTGAATTGTATTTTTTTTCATATTTGGTGGTAGTCAAGCCACAATAGAAATAAGCATATGACAAACTGACAGTACTAGTCTACCACTACAAGGAAAGAAGCATCTGACAAATTTCAAGACAATAAGAACTTATTACTGAAAAACAAAAAACTGTTTTCCTACTTACTTTTGTAATTGCTCCAAGTACCATGTGCAAACAAACGAAGCGTGTCCACCAAAAAAGGAATGTTCCGTTCCTGGAAGCTGCAAAATTCCATTGGTTTCATAAAAATCCTGAGGTAATTATTCTTATAAAAAAAAAAAACTTAACGAAAAAATATGAAAAGCAAGACGAGAATAAGAGAAAATAAAAGAGAACTCAAAGAATGTCATCAACTGGATTTGCAAGTTTCATATTTCCATTACTAGTCTATCAGCCTCTCAGAAAAACAAAAATCTTTACCCAAATAAGTCCTATTCACCATTTGCCATAATTTATAGAAGTAATCATTCAATTCAACATATCCCAACATGATATTCGAAATTTCCCTTATTTTCCCTTTTATCTATTCTATCGGGTATGGTGAACCATACATCACTGATCAGTCTGATCTCGACAATAAATATAATAATCCCCAAAGAGTGATGCACTGGCGTGAAACAAACTAGAAAACTACAATAAACCAACATGAATTTGCAAATTGTCATGAACACATAAACCAGAATCTTACGTAACCTTTCTCTAGATTTTAAAAGTCAGCGCACACACTCAACAATACACCACCACAGGAGCATTCAAGGAACAAAAGAACAGTGAAATCAACGAATGAAAACTGGGAAATATAATCAATTCTAACCTCAGCGACGGTTGAGACGGCAAGAATCTCGAAGAAAGCAAAGAGAGAAGGATGCGATGTGGCTTCGGCGATGACGGACCCTAGGGCTGAACCTTTACTGGCGGAGGCTCTCTTGACGAAGTGATCGATTAGCTCTGCTTGTTTTTGCTCGATATCCATGGCGAATAATGATCTCACACAGCACAAACACGAAGTGAATACTAGAATTCAATCAATCAATAAATAATATTTGCAAAAAATAGTTGAGGAATTGTGCAGAAAGTAACATTCAAGCAAGGGTTTAAGGGGATGGTGGTGGATTGAAAGAAAGGGGATTTTAGGGTTTATGGTGAGTGAAGAGTGCAAAGACGAAAAGATTGTGCTCTCCCTGGGAGAGAACTATAACGACAGATCTCCCCGTTGAAGTTGTCTGGTTTCCTCACAGCGGACGGTTATATATATATATATATAGGACGTGGGATTCCAATCGCTGATTAGTAGAATTAAAAGAGATTAATCATTAAAGGTTTTTATAAAAAAAAGAAAGGGGAAAATTAGTTGGTTTTGATATAAAAATGTTAAAATAGTTAATAATAGTTACATGATAAATTTGATAGAATTAGGTTGTATATTATAATTTATATATGATGTGATTATTATTAGAGGTTTTGATATTTTTAATATAAAGATATTTTATTTTTTATTTTATAAGAATATATATAAATATAAAGGTTGAAATTAATTTTAATATTGATATTAAATAAATAAATTTAATTAGATGAGTAATTGATAAATAAAAA